TATTGTGGCCAGAAAGAGTCCCTGTGTGATTTAAAATTCGCCTCCCCATTGAAGTCAATGGCGTTTCGGACGGTTCGCCGGTTCGCGAACACTTGCGGAAGTTCGCGTTCGCCGTTCGCGAACCGAAAATTTCGGGTTCGCGACATCACTAGTATACAAGTAGTGTATGCTAAAAAATATATATATTTTTAAAAACCACTATTTAGAAATAGCACAAACATTTATTTAACCTATTTCTCCTGCCAGCTTATTTACATCTATACTTTAAAACTAAGTTGTTTCTGCCAAATTCACTCAAATAAAACTCAGCAAGTCTTTCAGCGCTAGACAAGAGTTTATGCTTTAGTCTAATCACCCTAATGTAAACTGTTATCTTCAGTTACCCAGGCAGAACCTAAACATTTATCTATTTCTTAAAAAATGTCTCATTAAATTTGCAATGTATCATTCTTAAAATGCTTGAAGTATCAACAAGATACTGATTTTTTTTCCTGCGCATATAAAATCCCAAAACATGTGGGGTCATAGTAGAAACTTTATTAGCTATAAAATGTCAATTTAGATTTTAGTATGCTACTGTGCAGTGTCTTTTTTCAGTAATTGTTTATATTGGGTATAATCAAGTAATATACACATCCAGCATTATATTTGAACTCTCCAGACACCTAAATCACCTTAGCTTGCCGAAAAGCTTTATGTGTGAAGAGTGTCCCCTATTTTTTCATTTGCAAAAAGTGCAGAATTCAATAGAAATTGACACTTTTATAAATTAGCCTGGTTACTTTTGAAGCAAACATGTCCTCTTACTTTCTTGTTTGTTTAGCTAATTGGAGGGTTTGAAAAGGCAGAAGACAAGAGAACTGCAGGAGGAGTTGCCAACTCCCCCCCCTCCCACACCCCCTACCCCCAAACAAAAATAAAAAACAGCATTAACAGCGCCTTAATTAGTGGAAACAAACTAATAATTTTATTGGGCAGTTAGAAATCCTTTATCAAGTAATGATGTTAATGATTAGAACATTGATTAGTTTTTAGCTAAAAATTATGACTCTGCCCTTCTAGATAAGCAATTACAAGAAGTGAGCACTTCGGATAGGAATCAGATTTTGTGATATAAAAATAGGAATAAACCATACCCAAAGGGAACCCCCATTATTTTAGACTATAACTTGCAATCTAGACATATTAAACACATTCTAAATACATTTTGGCATGTTTTAAAGACAAACCATGATCTTGCTGGTATTATTGGGGATAAACCCAATGTTATCTACTGGGGTGCTAAAAGTATTAAAAATGACTTAGTTAAGAGCTTTATCAGACCTGTAGAAAGTGCATTTATGTTTAATCAAAAGAAAAACATTGCGCGCATCCGCCCCTACTTAACACCTGATGCGACTAAGGTGCTGGTCCATTCCACTGTCCTTTCTCACCTTGACTACTGTAATCTGCTTCTCAGTGGTCTTACGTGCTCCCAACTAGCACCGTTACAGTCCATAATGAAGGCGGGGGCGAGGCTCATCTTCTTGTCCGCCCGCATCTCCCACGCCCTTCACCCTTCTGTTAGTCCCTACATTGGCTTCCTGTAAAATATAGGGCTCAATTTAAAATTCTGGTTCTTGCTTTCAAATCTCTACATAATGCTGCTCCCACCTATCTATCTTCCCTTATACACAAGTATGTCCCGTCTAGGCCCTTACGATCTGCTGAGACTTACGTCTATCTTCTGTCTGTACTCCCACCTCTGATGCTCGCCTTCAAGATTTCTCGAGGGCTGCACCGTTCCTGTGGAACTCAATTCCCTCCTCCGTTAGATGCTCACCCAGTCTCCACTCCTTAAAAAAATTAATAAAAAACCATTTCATAAAAGTGTATCAATTAAACTGTTAATAGCTCCAGACTGATTCCTCTTCTGCAACTTTCACTAGTCGAATACTATCATTACCTTTTTGTGTCATTTTACCCCACTCCCTCTAGCATGTAAACTCATTGAGTAGGGCCCTCAACCCCTCTGTTCCTGTGTGTCCAACTTGTCTGGTTACAACTACATGTCTGTTAGTCCACCTATTGTAAAGTGCTGCAGAATTTGATGGCGCTATATAAATAACATAATAATAATAATAATCGCAGCAAAATGTGTCCAAATCGTAAAAAATCCATTTTTGCTAAGAAAACTAGAACATCTTTTAAATCAAACATAACCGGACAGAGTTTTAACATTAAAGATATTCTGACTTGCCATTCATCGAATGTGATGTATCTCCTTTTATTTTGGAGAGGATAATTATAAGGAACTGTGCAAAATTGAAAGCAAGTGGATTTTTATGGTGAATTCTCTAGCCCCCATAGGACTGAATCTAGATTTTGTGTTCATTTATTTTTTTATAGAAGTTATTTATTATATTTGTTGTGTGCTAGAAAGATTTTTCCTTTGAATAATTGAATTACTGTTATCTTTTTTTAATTTATTTTTTTGTGTGTGAATGAAGAGTACAAACATGCAGGTAATGCCACAACAACAGGTACTGGCAACTAATGGCGAACATATACACCATGTTCCAAATTATTATGCAAATGATATTTTTCCCATTTACCTAAATAATTGATGTAAATAACAGTCAGCATAATTCTCATGTTATCAACTATAAAGAGTACAATTCAAATTTTATTGAACAAACCTCCTAATGATAACAGTATTTTTTTTAAAGATAAAAAACTTGCAATGCACTGTTCCAAATGATTATGCACAGTACGTTTCATAACACTTTATAGGTTGTAAAGAACTGCAAATTGTCATTTGTTGTGTTTACAGCATATTTACTGAAATCAAAAACTATTTCACTTATAACAACATTTTAACTTTTTAAACATTTTAACAGGTCACGTTACATTTTAAAATAGGACCCCTTATTTGATAGCAACTTCACAAGTCTTGCATCCATTGAACTTGTGAGTTTTTGGACAGTTTCTGCTTGAATTTGTTTGCAAGATGTCAGAATAGCCTCCCAGAGCTGCTGTTTGGATGTAAACTGCCTCCCACCCTCATAGATCTTTTGCTTGAGGATGCTCCAAAGGTTCTCAATAGGATTGAGTTCAGGGGATGATGGAGGTCACACCATGACTTTCTCTCCTTTTATCCCCATAGCAGCCATTGATGCAGAGGTATTTTTTCCAGCATGAGATGGTGCATTGTCATGCATGAAGATAATTTTATTACGGAAAGCATAGTTCTTCCTTCTGTACTAGGTAAGAAAGAAAGTGGTCAGTCAGAAACTCCACATACTTTGCAGAGGTCATCTTTACACCTTCGGGGACCATAAAGGGGCCGATCAGCTCTCTTCCCATGATTCCGGCCCAAAACATGACTCCACCACCGCCTTGCTGACTTCGCAGCCTTGTTGGAACAGGGTGGTGACCGCCCACCAACCATCCACTACTCCATCCATCTGGACCATCCAGGGTTGCACAGCACTCATCAGTGAACAGGATTGTTTGAAAATTAGTCTTCATGTATTTTTCTGCCCAATGCAGCCGTTTCTGCTTGTGAGCATTGGTTAGTGGTGGCCAAATAGAAGGTTTATGCACAGTTGCAAGACTCTGGAGGACTCTACACCTTGATGTCTGTGGGACTCCAGAGGCACCAGCAGCTTCAAATATCTGTTTGCTGCTGTGTAATGGTATTTTAGCAGCTGCTATCTTGATCCAATGCATGGATCTGGCAGAAATCTTCCTCAACGGGCCTTTATCTGCACAAACCCGTCTGTGCTCTGAATCAGCCACAGATCTCATAATAGTGCGATGATCATGCTTAAGTTTTCGTGAAATATCGAATGTTTTCATACCTCGTCCAAGGCATTGAACTATTTCACTCCTTTTGGCAGCAGAGAGATCCTTTTTCTTCCCCATATTGCATGAAAATGGTGATCTGCTTAATAATGTGGAACACCCTCGTTTAGTAGTTTTTCCTTAAATTGGGTTCACCTGGCAATCTAATTATCACAGGTGTCTGAGATTGTTTTCAGTGATCAAAAGAGCCCTGAGACACAATGCCATCCATGAGTTAAACTGAAAAACAAAATATTTAATCTTTGTGATACTTAAATCGAATTTGCATAATAATTTGGAACAGGGTGTATATATGGCATAGGTTGAAACTGCACAATTTTTTGTAATAACATTCAGGTTTGACGATAGGCAAAACAATTGGCATGTCAGCAGGTAGGCAACTTCTAACATGAAATCTACGTTGTTACATCGTGGATACTGACATTCAAGTTGAGCGTTGCACATTTGCATTTTAAAAAATAGGCTTAAACTGTCCGACATGTCACAGCATTTTAGAGTTTGGTTTCAAGGGTAAGAGGACATGCTTGCGTGTATGTTTGAGTGAGTGAGCTTAAAACATGCATTTCTAACGATAAGCATACCTCCGTGGACACAGTGTAAATATGCGATACCTCAACTACTAAAGTAATAAACAGGAATGATCCAACAGTGGTTTAGTCAGGGACTGGCAGGATCGCTAAATGGAGGGATAGAATGCAGGTATAGGTGACAGGTTAGGTGTCACAATGCTAGACGGGGTAACTTTAAGTGGCTTGTGTTGTGTAAGATAAGTGTATAATTGGTAGTTTATCTAGCCCAGTGAACTTGATGGCCGGCTGGGTTGTATTATAGTCAGCAAGACAAAAGTGGCAAGCATTATGTAAGGGAGCATATACTTAAACATGCATCAACTTGGGGCATCAGAGCTTATATGTCAGTGTCTATGTGCGTCTGGATAGTGTCCATTCATAAGTGTTGAGTGGACTGCCCGTGCGTCAGTGGGTCATCCTATTCCTCCAGGGGAGGTCTGTGTCGGTGGCACCGGGTAAGTACAGGCATTGTAAAACAGCCAGGAGCAGGTCAGTTCTTCCCTCCAGCTCCAGGCCAGCGATAAAGCAGGCATCGCGGTCCCACGGACTGTCGGGACAGGTCTGGGGGCCTGGATGTTTTCGCACCGCCTGCATGGTTGATGCGCTGAGGTCATTCCCCTGGTGGCCTTTGGCCAAGATGGGCTAATGCGGTGAGTGGCGGGCTGCTTCATCGAGGTAGTGCCCAAGGGTTTCCCAGTCCCTTTCTGGCTGTCGCCACTCTGTTTGCTTCTGGTGCTCCAACTCTGTCGCTGCTGTGTCTGTGCGACAGCATGTCTAGCTTCAATCCGTGCCCAAAAGTTGTCAAACAGTTTGTTCAAGCGGGTGGTCAGAGGCTTGGTAGCACCGTAACGATACTCCGGAGGCACATATACATCGTTGGATTGCGCATCCACCATGTTATAGTAGCACGTAGCCTGCAGGCATTGTGCTTGGTTGGGGTTTGTGCCAGTCTTCAGAGACCACGGAGGTATGAGGGTCAGAGTGAGTTGGACCGGGATAACCCCCGCCGGTCCAGTGGAGGGGGGGAAGCTGGGTATCGTGGATGCTACTTGTCTTGATGGGCTGGGAGAGCGTCCGCCTCTCCCTTGCCCTGCGTTTTGTAGGCCCCAAGCCTCGGCTCAGGCATTCCAGCGGGCATGTCGGGCATGCGAGAGATCCCCCCAGTTCACCAGCCTCTGTGTAACAAGATGAGGTAGGTTGGGTTCAATCCAAGGCTATGTGCCCCTGTTTTCAGTCGATTATCAGGCCCAGGCTCGGGAGCTCACACATAGTGTGTCTGCTCAGCTCCACAGTCATGCTCCTCCCCCTGAATTACTTTTTATATCTAGTGCTTTCTATTTATACTTTTATGCATTATTTACTATTGAGGTTATCCTCAATTCTCCTTTCACATTTTAGAAGATTTATTGTGTCTATATTAGGTTTTGATATGCTTGTCTTATTGTGTATATATATATGGTAACTTTATTTTTCTATTCTGTGCAGCTTTTAGTAATTACTTCTTATGTGATATTGTTGCGATATTTTGAGGACCTTTGCCTTTAGTTATTATGGGACTGTGCTCCATTCCGCCCTTAAATTATCAAACACAACCCGGAAGGGAGGCAGTCATGACCGCGTCACCTGACGGACGCAGCGTGATGACGTATGTGTACTGCACCGGAAAGAGGAAGTGAGACAGCAGGGCCAAATTGGAGAATGTACGGTAGGACCATGTGTTGTCCCTGTTTTTGGGCCTGCAGGAGCATAGTCCAACTCCAGTGCATGTCATCCCATTCAGTCGATGCCGGCTCTGGAGGCTTGACAGGTGTGCAGTTGGTGCTGCAGCAAGAGTCTGTCGACTGTGTGTCCCAAAGAGGCCCCCTGCCTGCGTCCTTCACCACTTGGAAGCTGTGTTGCTTTCCAGTAAGCCTCGTGGCAGTCTATTCGGCGTATGAGCGCAAGGTTGTGCCACTTTGACTGGAGGATTCCGATGTTGCTGAGCGGTATGTGAATCGTGCAGGCTTGGTCTCTCATTGGTATGTGTGCGGGTGGGTGCCAGAGTTCGGGAGGCACGTTGCCGTTCCCCGCCGTTTTGAACTCCGACGTTGGCACTGTCTGGATGCTGCTCTGGGGGCTCGGGGTGGGCCTCTGCTCAGGTGGCGTCGGGTAGCCAGGTGGATCCATGAAGCCACATTTTGCATCACCAGCTTTAAGTGCTGACACTTTGCGTGGAGCAATGTCCAGAGGCTAGTGCGGAGCTGGTCAAAGAATTCTAGGGTGTGCTTGGGTGGTCTGATGACGTTGTTCTGTGCCACCATCTTGCATGGGCCCCTGTAGTCCCGTGCGTTTGCAGATTTGGTCGCTTGGTTGAGATGCGTTGTGGGGGTAGTCGTCCCCAACGAGGAGCGGGATATCCCCCGCTGGTCCAGAGGGGGGGTAGCGGGGCAGCATCCGAGTGAGTCTTATGATCAGGTCCCGTGTCGGGGGATCAGCCGCCTCCCTCAGGCCTAAGGCCCCGCTCCAGTGTAGGCCACGTTGCCGGTATGGGTGTTCGTGTGTCGATGCGGGACAGATATCATTCTGTTCCCTGTGTGGCCCTGTATTGGTTTTTGGGCATTTTGTGCTGCTAGCATGGTTGGATTGATTAGGCTAAACGTTTTTGTGCTCGTTGGCATGAGAGCCCTCATGGAGTACGTCCGGCCATCTTGGCTGTCAGGCCCTGCCCCAAAAAAGTTAATTTTTTTTAATGCTAAATAGTACATTAGTGGGATAGTGCATTAGTGGCGTGCACTTTATATCTGAGAGTCAAATATAAGCGTCAAATAGTGTGCTTACAGCGCAGTGGTAAACATTCTAATTGTTTTGCTGCTAATCTGCTAAGTAGTACATTTTGGGGCCTGCTCTTCATATCTGAGAGTCAAATAGTAGCATTTAATAGTGTGCTTACAGCGTAGTTGTAAAAATTCTAATTTTCTGGGTGCTAATCTGCTAAATAGTACATTTTGGGGCGTGCACTTCATATCTGAGAGTCAAATAGAAGCGTCTAATAGTGTGCTTACAGCGCAGTTGTAAAAATTCTAATTTTCTGGGTGCTAATCTGCTAAATAGTACATTTGTGGCCTGCGATGCTCTTCATATCTGAGGTTCAAATAGAAACGTCAAATAGTGCACTTACTGCGCAGTTGTAAACATTCTAATTGTTTTGCTGATAATCTGCTAAATAGTACATTTTGGGACGTGCACTTCATATCTGAGAGTCAAATAGAAGCATCTAATAGTGCGCTTACAGAGCAGTTGTAAACATTCTAATTGTTTTTCTGCTAATCTGCTAAATAGTACATTTGCGGCCTGCGGTGCACTTCATATCTGAGAGTCAAAAAGAAGCGTCAAATAGTGTGCTTACTGCGCAGTTGTAAACATTCTAATTGTTTTTCTGCTAATCTGCTAAATAGTACATTTTGGGGCCTGTTCTTCATATCTGAGTGTCAAATAGAAGCGTCTAATAGAGTGCTTACAGCGCAGTTGTAAAAATTCTAATTTTCTGGGTGCTAATCTGCTAAATAGTACATTTTGGGGCGTGCACTTCATATCTGAGAGTCAAATAGAAGCGTCTAATAGTGTGCTTACAGCGCAGTGATAAACACAGTTACATAGTTACATAGCTGAAAAGAGACTTGCGTCCATCAAGTTCAGCCTTCCTCACATTTGTTTTTTGCTGTTGATCCAAAAGAAGGCAAAAAAAAAAAACATATATCTGAGAGTCAAATAGAAGCATCTAATAGTGTGCTTACAGAGCAGTTGTAAAAATTCTAATTTTCTGGGTGCTAATCTGCTAAAGCACAATTGAAGCACAATTTTGCAACAAGCTAGGAAAAAAATTCCTTCTTTACCCCAGAATGGCAGTCAGATTTATCCTTGGATCAAGCACTTATTACACTTCATTGAAAGATTATATCCTTGAATATTCTGTTTTTGCAAGTATGCATCTAGTAGCTGTTTAAACATCTGTATGGACTCTGATAAAACCACTTTTTCAGGCAGAGAATTCCACATCCTGATTGTTCTTACAGTAAAAAAAAAACCTTTCCTTTGCCTTATTTTTTCTTCCAGTCTAAATGCATGGCCTCGTGTCCAATGTAAACTCTTGTTTGTGAATAGATTTCCACACAATGGTTTGTATTGGCCCCGAATATATTTGTATAATATTATCATATCCCCTCTCGGGCGACGTTTTTCTAAACTAAATAGGTTTAAATTTGTTAACCTTTCTTCATAGCTGATATGTTCCATTCCTTTTATTAATTTTGTAGCCCGGCTCTGCACTTTTTCTAGTGCCATAATACCCTTCTTTAGAACAGGTGCCCAAAATTGCACAGCATATTCAATATGTGTTCTTACCAGTGATTTAGAAAGAGGCAAAATTATATTCTCGTCCCGAGAATGAATGCCCTTTTTCATGCATGGCAATACCTTACTGGCCTTGGCCACTGCTGATTGACATTGCACATTGTTGCATAGTTTGTTGTCTATAACAATTCCCAAGTCCTTTTCGTGTGTCGTTATCCCTAATTTGCTTCCATTAGGGGTATACGTCTAATAGCTTGGTGCTACTTCCAAGTGCTGTTTCTAAGTGTCTAGTTGGAGATATTCTGGAGAGTTTTACAGAAGCTTCAACTGTCTAAGAGTTGTGCTAAGAGCTTTCTTTTCTACTGTTACAGGTAAGATTCATCTGTAGGAAAAGGTTACTGATTGCCCAAGGTTTGAATTCCTGTTGTAATTATAAGGCATTTGATTTGATTAAGCTAGTTACTTGCTGTTGATTGCTGGTTAATTAGCTATTGTTTGCAAATAAGCAGAGGCCTACCCAGGTGTTAAACATTCCTAGTGGGCGGTGATTTAAGGAGTTATATAAGGCTTGGTCTCATTAGCTTGTCTAATATAGCTTGGTGCTACTTCCAAGTGCTGTTTCTAAGTGTCTAGTTGGAGATATTCTGGAGAGTTTTACAGAAGCTTCAACTGTCTAAGAGTTGTGCTAAGAGCTTTCTTTTCTACTGTTACAGGTAAGATTCATCTGTAGGAAAAGGTTACTGATTGCCTAAGGTTTGAATTCCTGTTGGTAATTATAAGGCATTTGATTTGATTAAGCTAGTTACTTGCTGTTGATTGCTGGTTAATTAGCTATTGTTTGCAAATAAGCAGAGGCCTACCCAGGTGTTAAACATTCCTAGTGGGCGGTGATTTAAGGAGTTATATAAGGCTTGGTCTCATTAGCTTGTCTAATATAGCTTGGTGCTACTTCCAAGTGCTGTTTCTAAGTGTCTGGTTGGAGATGTTCTGGAGAGTTTTGCAGAAGGAACCACATCTGCCTTCCTCCAATCCTCCGGAACACTTCCTGAAAGAAAAGAATCTTGAAAGATTAAAAACAGAGGTTCACTTATTTCTACACTTAGTTCCTTAAGTACTCGTGGATGGATACCGTCAGGCCCTGGAGCTTTGTTTATATTAACTTTCTTTAGTTGCTGCAAGCACCTTGTCTTGAGTTAACCAATTACAATTATTCTGCAAGTTTTTAGTAGCAATCATTTGCACATCTATTGCCATGGGTTCTTCCTTAATATATACGGAGGAGAAATAGTTATTTAAAATTCCTGCCTTTTTCTGGTCTTCATTAACTAACACCCCCGTTTCAGCTTTTAGTGTACCTACACTTTTATTTTTGTTTTTTTTTAGAATTTATGTACTTAAAAAATGCTTTGGGGTTGGTTTTGCTCTCTTTAGCTATCATTTTTTCATTTTGAAGTTTAGCAAGTCTAATTGCCTTTTTGCGCGCATTATTTGCTTCCTTATGTCTTTAATAAGATGCATCTGATTTGTCCGATTTAAATGCTTTAAATGCCCTTTTCTTATTTTTAAT